TAACCCTAACCCTAACCCTAACCCTAACCCTAACCCTAACCCTAACCCTAACCCTAACCCTAACCCTAACCCTAACCCTAACCCTAGCCCTAACCCTAACCCTAGCCTGGGCCCTAACCCTAACCCTAACCCTAACCCTAACCCTAACCTAACCCTAACCCTAACCCTAACCCTAGCCCTAACCCTAACCCTAACCCTAACCATAGGTCTAACCCTAACCCTAACCATAGGTCTAACCCTAACCCTAACCTTAGGGGGTTAATAAATAAATAAATTAATAAATAAATTAATAAACAAATAAATAAATAACATCATATATTGCATGGTAAATCATCTACAAGGGTGCTAAAGGGTTAAAAGAGCAAATACAAAAAGGGTTATAATTTAGTTAAAAAATAAGGAAATTCATTGTATTTTTCTCTGGGAGAGTATAAAAGGCAGAGCAGAGGAGGAAAATTCATTTTCACTCTGACAGCCACCAAGTAAAGACCTACTGCATTTAAACTACTGTTTGCTTTATGTTGTGTGTGCCTTGGCCTGAGGAAGACCAACACAGGTCGAAACGTAGCATCATAGGCACACAATAGGAAGGCTAAGAATAGTTATCATTGTGAAAAACAAATAAAAACATTCTAAAAAAATTAAAAAACAAAAAAATACAAAAAAATAAAAAAATACAAAAAAATGTAAAAACAGTTATAGTTTATTTTGAGGGTATTTAATCACAGTTTTTGTTAATTAAGAAGTTCAAATAAGAACAAAATCAACATTTTATTTTAAGAAAGGGTTTAAAAACAGTTATTTTATTTTGTATTACAAACAGCATCTCTATAAAAACAATCATAATCTCATTTAAGTAAAATCTTTATAAAAAAAACAACAAGGAAATCACAATTTTGTTTAAGAAAGAGTTTAATTTCATTTATTTCTGTGGGATAAAATCACAATTTTAATTTAAATATATAAAAATCTTAAAACAAAGTATGATGGCCACTCCACGCAGGAGTGGCTTTGACGGCTGGACGGAGGTCCGCTTTGGCCGTAAAGGCCAGCGCTTCCGCCAGCCATTCCGGGACCGGGGGAACGTGTTCGGTCGAGGGAAGGCCCGTGCATTCCCCGCTCCCTATGGGAGACGGGATTCATTCCCCAAACCTGTCCAGCCAGTGCCTCACTCACATAGGCCGCCACGTGAACCTGGTCCCACTGCTAAACCCTACACCTCAGGGGAGGTGAGGAGACAACCAGCTGACCCAGAATTTGGGCAGCTGGTGAGGAAGATGTTTAGCCTCATTAA